GAGGTTTATCCATGGACCGGTCACTCTTTACAGACACACAGTCGGATTCAGGATACTCTGCTCTCTGTCTGTGGCTCTGACCTCTGAAAACACAAAGATGTTGTTCACATCACATCAAACACTGAGAAATTCTCTGATCAAAACCATCCATCTATTTTCTATACTGCTTATTGGGGGTCCCAGGGGGGTGGAGCCTATCCCAGCTGACAGCAGGCCAGAGGCGGGTCCACCCTGGACAGGTCACAAGTCCATCATAGGGACACCCAAAGACACACAACCACACACACTCACAGTCACTCCCAGGGGCAATTTGGAGTGTCCAGTTAACCTAACATGCAGGTTTTTGGACAGTAGGGGGAAGCTGGAGAACCGAAGAGAACCCATGTACACACAGGGAGAACATGCAGACTCCAGCCAGAAAGGTCCTGGTTCCCCCAGGAACTAAAACCAGGAACCCTCTTTCTGTGAGGCTACAAGGCTCTGATGGAAACCATTTTTATTTTTAAAAAATCTATTTAAATAAAGATTTTAATTAACTTCTCCACTTTTTCTTTTTAGAATATATATTTTTTAACTTAATTTAAATGATTGACATCTGCAAACACAAAGATGTAAGTCAGGGAGTTTTAAAACCAGACCTTAATATGACATTTAACTGTAAATATTTTGATGGGTTTAGTCTCTGTATTTCATTTCTGTTAACCTGGAGCCCTTACTATGAAGCAGGATTAGAGGCTGATTCATGTCAAGGGAAATGATCAGAAAAGGGTGTCAGGGGGTGGTTCATGGAGGGAGGACTCAGTTGCGGAGATGAGGGGGAAACAAGGTTTATTGTAACAAAAACCAGAGTCCAGACAAAGTATGGAAAGCTGTGGAAAACTGTGATCAAAGTAACAAAGCAATGAACAAACAAGACTGTGGCAAAAACTATGACTTGACAAAGTAACAAAATAAAGATTAACAAAACTGTAGCAAAACTGTGACTATGACAAAAACTATGGCAAAACAAACCTGGCGTGGGGGAGACGACGGACAAGACGGACGAAAGACGAAAACGCACTTGCGCCAGACAAGGGGAAACAGGACTATTTAAACACATGAGGGAGGGGAGCCCCAGGTGTACACAATGGGTAATCATGACATGACGAGACACCAGACGTGACAAAGGGTTTAAAATTATTCACATTATTGAGAAATTCTTTTTGCCATCAGTCACTTCAACACTGTTTGTATCTATGTCTTTTTTTCTGAATATGGGGCAAAGATCATTCACAACATTCAGAATTAGAAACTTTTTCACATATTCTGAGAATAAATCCTGAATTCTCTGGTTCAGTGGTCTTACTTTGTGTCTGAGGGTCCAGGTCCATCTCTGAGGCCTGGAGGTTTATCCATGGACCGGTCACTCTTCACAGACACACAGTCGGATTCAGGATACTCTGCTCTCTGTCTGTGGCTCTGACCTCTGAAAACACAAAGATGTTGTTCACATCACATCAAACACTGAGAAATTCTCTGATCAAAACCATCCATCCATTTTCTATACTGCTTATTGGGGGTCCCAGGGGGGTGGAGCCTATCCCAG